GCGCTTCCCGCGGCCGCTGCTGCGCCTGGTGGCGCTGCAATCGCTGCAGATGGGCGATAACCGGCTGCGCGCGCTGCCCGCGGAGCTGCCGCGCATGACGGGCTTGCGTGGCCTCTGGCTCTACGGCAATCGCTTCGAAGAGTTCCCGCCCGCGCTGCTGCGCATGGGCCGGCTGCACATCCTCGACCTAGACCGCAACCGCCTGGGCGGCTTCCCTGACCTGCACCCGCTGCGCGCGCTACGAGTTTTCTCCTACGACCACAACCCGGTCACTGGCCCCCCGCGCGTGGCGGACACCGTTTTCTTAGTTGGGGAGGGCGCCGTCGAGCGCATGGCTGAGCGCGACGAGCCCATTCCGCGGCCGCCACCCCGGCGTCCAGTCCGGGCTTTTGAGGATGAGGAGGAAGAAGACCTGCTCATAGGAGGCACAGGACCCAGGGCCCTGGGGTCCGCCAGGGACAGCCTCCGAGCCTTGGAAGCCCCTCCAGGATTGGGCACCTGAGCCTCTGCCTTGAGTGATGGGCTTGGCCACTCTGGAAGGAGGGTCTCTAGGAGGCTGCGGCTGTCTGGTTATGGGGTGCCGCTGCGCCGCTTATTGGGGCGGTGAAGGAGCGGCATTGAGAGAGCAGCCTGGCACAGGCAGGCCTGAGGCTATCTTCCGATAGTCCTGGGTAGTAAGAAAGACTCCCTGGGCAGACCTGTGGGCAGTTTTCAGACCAAGAAGTCTGGGATAGAGCCACTGATGGTACAACAGATGAGCCGGTTCTCACCTGGAACCAGGGTCACCACTATCCATAGAATCATCCCCACTCTGACACTGGATGCCCAGGGTGCCTATTGCTTTCATCTGGAGTTTGGATTTCCTAGGCCTACCCTAGCTGTTGCTGGAGCCATTACCTCTGGGGTGGGTTGTATGGAGGCAAAACTTCCCCTCGTGTGTGTGTGTGGGGGGGGTCGTATGGCCAGTGTTAGGGCATAGGGACTCTGTCCAGAAGCAGGACACAGATTGGGGCCTAACACCTTAGTTTCCCTTAGCTCTCCACCAGGTCCCCCGATATCTGTATGGAGCGCAGAAAACAGGGTCTCCACCCCACCTTTCCTTCTGGTCCCTTCTCCCAGCATATGTGGAAAGATTGCTGAGCAAAGAGATCTTCCCTGTCCTACAGCCTGTGTCCTCAGTTGTCAAGTTAGAAAAGAAGCCGCTGGGCCCGTAGGGCCTCTGCCCGGGGAGCGAGCGAGCGAGGGGCTCTGCCTTCTAGGAGACTGCTCAGGGCCTCCTACGGCTTGCACTCTCCATTTCCTTACATGGGCACAGCCAGGGTGGCTGGCACAGCATGGGGCCCCGGACGGGCACCATGTGCCTCTACTCCGTCACCAGGGACAGCCTCTGAGGGGGTGAGGAGACAGGCTCTGCAGTTCCCAGGGCCAGATCCAAGCAATAACAGGAGGAAGGGGTCAGAGGACACTCAGGGACACTGTCAGGGGCTGGAGCCCCAGAAGGTAGTGTTTTCTTTAGGAAGAAAAAAAACTGGTTGTAAACATAAATTATATTTCTTGGAGGAAGAATGTGTGTTTCCCACGTGCCTATTTATTTATAAGCCCAGGAGCACCAAGTTCCACCGCTGCGGTTACACCTCCCCCACCCTTGTGCCCCGACTCTGTGTCAGAATGACCCTGGCCAACTGCTGTGTCCTTCCTGTCTGGGGAGCAAGTGCGGGCTGCAGAAATGGCATTGGCTCCCCGAGGCTGGTCACCTGGCCCCTTAGGGTGTCTTCTTCCCCACCCTGGCTTACCCTGCCCTCGGTTGTGCTGTGGGGTCGTCTGGTGCTTAGTTCTCGGGTCCAGGCTCTGCTGCTCCCCCCAGCTGGGCTGGCCTTCCCCTACTGTTTCACGGCTCCCGGCCCCTCCCTCCCACTCCCTGACTGCACTTGCTCCCATCCCCTTTGCCTTTCTGAGTCAGGGCTCCCTCAGTTTTGGCCGCTATCACCATGGCAACGAGGGCTGATGTCATATGAGGCCAAAAGGTCAGGCTCAGCCCAGTAGCTGGGCTCTGGGTAAGGAGACGCTGGGCATGGATCTGGAGTGCGAAGAGACTGGAAAGAGGGAGGAGGCAGGGCACTTGGAAGCGGCCTCTTCCACAAGGAGCAAGGCCAGCTCGGGACACAGCTGTCGGCTTTGTCTTTGCTGAGCTGCCATGGGGTCCTGGGCCTTCTTGGGGTCTGGGAACTTGGGAGAAAGGGTATGGGAGGTGGGGTGGTCAGATGGTTTGGGTCACCAGGGACTGACCTCTTGACCCAGAACTTGCCAGGTCCAGGGAAATCCCCTGTGGACCAGGTCTGGCCCCCTCTTAGTTCTGCTATTGGCTGTGTGATCTTGGTCCCCTGGGCCTGGGTTTCTCCATCTGTAGCTGAGGAGTTGGTCTGATGCTCCTGCCCAAGACTCCACTCACTGCTTACCCCCACCCTTTCGTTGTCCAGCCCCAGCCATCCTGAGGTGTTCAGGTCCCTCCCCTGCCCCCTTTCCACCTTGGCACCATTACCTATGGCTGTTTACCAACCAACTGGAGCTACTGAGGCTGTCTGCGGCAGATCCAGTTTCTTGTGCAAAGTTTGGTTAGAGTCCCTGCTGATGCCCGACACACTGTTATAGCTCTCCTGAGAAAGACGGAACGGTTGCCAGTCCCCCTGATACAGCTCCGTTGGAGTGAGGAAAGCACTGTGTGTGTGTGTGAGGGGTCCCGTCATGACCTTGGAGTGAGGAAAGCACTGTGTGAGGGGTCCTGTCATCTCCACCCTCCCTTGGCCCCTGGAAAGAAGGATAAGAGGTGTGACACATTTGGCCACAGCCTCATCTGTGGTCCCCACACAGTCTCAGGACAGTCAGAGGTGGGACACACGGGGAGGGGATAGGGAAGCTCAAAGGAGTTTGGTGTGTCAAGCCAGGGCGGAGGCCAAGAGAGCTGATGGTTACAGCAGAAAAAAAGGCCAAGGGAACAGAGTAGTGGGAGGGCAAGAGACAGATTGAGGAGAGTCTGTGATCCACCCATTGGCCTATCTGTAGACTCCTAACCCAGTGCTCAGTTCAAGCTGTGGAAGAGCCTCTCCATCCTTGGCTGGCTGGCAAGTTGGCAAGTGAGATGGAGGAGAGTTATAGCCTGTCTCCTCCCCTCTGACCCGCAAGTCTCCAGTCTGGTTCCCAAGTCTCCAGAACAGCTGACTTCTTGACTGGCAGGCAGGGCAGAGACGCTGGGATGTTAGCAGAGGCCTTGCCAGGCTTCACTACCGCCCCTTCGAGAGCTTGGTAAAGGGGGGAAATGGGGTGATTGGGAACCAGAGACCCTCCCCAGAAGCCCCTCCCCTCCTTCCGCGCAGCCACACGGGCTTTGTCACCGCTCCCAAAGCTTCCTCAAGACACCGGGGCACCGTGACTCTGAAGATGGACATTTATTACCACAGCCAGGCACGCCACACAGAACGCATATTCAGACAGGGAACCCTGCCCAAGGGCTCACAATCTAAGAGACACCACACCCGAACGCGTGTGCACATACAGACACATAGCACATGTACCGACACATACAGGACCCAGACACAGGGAGTGGACGACTTCACAAGAAACAGATGGACGGGGGCTCCGGATGGGGCATCAAGCATGTTCAGATTGTCCTTTGGGCTGTCTTTCTCAGAGAGGGAGAGGAGAGCCCAGAATTCAGGGAGGCTAGTGAGACCTTTGGAAGCAGCGTATCTGGGAGGGACTCGCAGGAGAAAGTGGTCTCATGAAGGGATGGATGGGTAGCTCAGAACAGGCAGAGAGAGCCCTGTGCCAGCGGCCAGGTCTGGCATCTCTGCTGTGCTGCCCCACCTACGCTAAAGCTGTTTCCTGACTTTACTTCCCCCAAAGAAAGGCTAAACCAAACCCAGGCTGGTTTGGGGTGCCCCTGGAGCTACTTACCTGACCCCAGGACTCCCTCCAACCCCTGGAATAGAAGCCAAAAGAAACTGCATATGCACACGCACTCTAGGCAGGCACTGTACCTCTGAGCTACACCCCAGCCTGCAAACAGCTTGCAAAAGGGATCTTTAAACCATACTATAGGAAGTTGAAGGAGCAGAAGGGGGAAGGGTGGGAGACTCAGAATGGGGGTGCTTAGTACAGATTGAGGAGGCAGCTGCTGGCCCCAGATGTGGGGGACCAGAGGGTATGGGACCCTCTTCATGCCAGAGTAGGGCAGGTACCATGGAGATATGGGGTTCAGTGTCTATTTGAAGCAGATAGTTTTCCTTCTGCAGTACCCTGAGAACTGGCAGGCCAGCTGCCCTGGACCGAGCAGGGAGTGGCTGGGAAATTATTGCTTCTTTGAGGATAGAGGACACTGAGGGCCCAGCAAGGGACAGGTCTTTCCAGAGCCACAGATAGGGCGCTGGAGTTCATTCTCTCATGCCCTCAGGTTGGAACTTTCCAATGGGGCTGTTAGATTGGAGAGATTGTTTCCAACCACAGAGAATCAGCCTAGACCACAGGTTGGAGAAAGGCCACAGGTCCAGCAGGCCGACCAAGAGCTCAGCCTATCTTTTCTTTCCCCCACCAGGACCTGTGGACCTGTAAAGAAACATTGTCCCCAAGTCTTAGCAGCCCAGCAATGATGGTGAGGTAATGGTTGGGTGCCACCTTGGCTTTTTCTGCCCATCTGGGATGGGGTTAAGGACCCTCTGGGAAGAGACGGGGTGCATACCCCGCTAGGTGAGCTCCCAGGGAGGCCCTGGAAATCTGTAGGAGAGACCACTACTAAGCATGACACATGCCTGGCCCAGGATGCAATGCTCCCTGGTGAGTGTGGAGATGACAGTCTCGGCCTGAGACTGGGTTGGAAGCTCAGGCAGGCCCAAGCCACTCATGAAACAATCGAGTCCCAGAGGTGACAGACTCCCCACTCCCAGCTGCTGCTTCCCTTGGGGGAAGAGAGAGAGGGCTGGGACCCACAGAGGAAACAGCCAAGGCCCTACTTTTTCACGATCCTTTATTTATCAGAACAGGCCTTGCCACAAAAAGCAGGGCCCATTCCCACAAAAATATGGTTTTGCAAAGAGGAAGATTTTGCTGGCTTAGAGGGTGCATATGGTGGGAATTTTCGTATGGTTCTTTTTCCCCTTTTTTTCTTCATTTCTCTTTGCTGTGATTTTTCTTTTTTTGTGAGAGTGGATTTTTGTTTTATTTTTTATAAAACACTTGCGCTCAAGGACTCAAACACAATACAAACAGCGCCACCAATTCCCACCCCGGGGCCCCAGTCGACCTGGGAATCCCCTTGGCTTTTTTTTCTTTTGTGGCTGTTTTCCTTTGTCCCTTCCCCGGCCTCTGGTGCCGAGGGCAGGTGGAGTGCTGGGGCAGGTGGAACTTGATAGCAGTTACATGGAAAGATGGTCACAGGAAAGGTTACCTAAACAACATAACCACTAAGTCTAGGGTGCCCACAAAACGCCAGGTGACACTCATAAAGGGGCTTGGGACACAGTGAAGAGACAGATTGGCTCTGGTGGTCCCTAGAGGCTCTGCGGGGTAGGGTGGATGGGCAGGTGGGCCTTGCTCTCAGGCGCCAGTGACAACTTTGCTTTGGGTAGCACCTTCAGAGCCCTCCTGCCTTGATCCCCTAGGTCAGGTGATGGTGGGCCTCACAACCTCCCCCATGAGGTAGGTGAAGTATTATTACCATCATTTTACAGATGGAGAAACTGAGGCCCAGTGAGAGTGGGTGACTTGCCCAAGATCCTAGGACAGTGGTAGCAGAGCTCTGGGGCCCTCCCCACCCTCAAGTTCCCCTGTCCCTGCTCTCCGACTGCCCTAACTGTCCCATGCCCAGACTCCTTGTCACCCAGCTGCCTCTTGTACAAACCCACGTTGCTCTCAGCCCACCGTTTGGAACCTCTTGCCGGTGTCCTCCACTCTCTAGCTACATGTGGGGGCTGAGGAATTCCAGGCTGGATCACCAGTGTTCCTAGGTGGGGTACACGGCAAACCAACTCTGGAGGATGCTCTCTGAGTTGATTGACTAAGTGTGTGACTCCATAAATCCTCTGCCATCCTTAAACCCATTGGGGGAAGTTGGGTCCCTCAGATGGCTCTGTGGGAATGTTCAGGGAACTGAGGCAGATGGAGTAAAGGATAGCAGCAATTTCTCTCTCATTTCCAGGCTCTTGACAGTACCCTCTCCTATTTCCACACAGGCTCTGGGGTCCCTTTCTGGGGACTACACCCAGCTGGGGAAGGCAGTTGGGGCAGATCCCCCTTAAAGCAAAAGCTGCAGTATAGAAACATTTATAATTACAAGTAAAATGGGTAACTATTTGTTTCACAATAGAATTATTCACTCTACAAATGATTCACCTATAACATAAGATGTTCTTCCAGGTACCAGGGGACACGGTGTGAAATTCAACTTAAGAACATTTTGATATGGGTGAAAGGAGACCTCACTGCCCAGAGCAGAAAATTGAGCTTAAGGGGACTCCCAACAAAGGAAAATGTGCCCAAATATCTGTTTCCACTGTGCTCTAGATGTGTAGATCCAGCACAGAGCCCCTTCTGTCCCTGGGGTGTCAGGCTTGCCAGCCAGGGTAGAACTGTGGTCCCCGACTGTTAACACAGATGTGGTGGTCTGGTGCCACCAGGTGGTAGGTTCTGGGAATGTCGGGCTCAAGTCTAAACTGGTTTTGAGGCTCTGTCATCAGTGGCTATTTTCTCAAAAGAGCACAGAGGGATCATCCTAGAGTCTGCTGTTTCCAAGGAGAAGCCAGTTCTAGTCCCAGCAGAGGCTAGGAGGAGAAACAGCAGCTTCTTTGGGTATGGTAACCTCAGAATTCTGGAATGTTCCCTGCTTCCTCTGTTTGTGTGTGTGGGCGGGGCACAAAGAAAGAGTTGCTGCTCTGGGGTGGCGGGGAGGTCGGGGAGGGTGGAGGAATGTATCAAGACAGCCTGGAGTAGGTCAGGGGTAGACCAGATAATGCAAAGAGAGGAATGGAGGAGCTGGGGTAAGGGGTGGGGACGAGGGACCATATCCACGCCAGAGTGTGGGACAGATGCCATCTTGGCTGGAGCATGAGATCTGGGAAGGTGGGGGTCCCTGGGTACGGGGTTAGGGATGCCTGAGAAGGATGGGAGTGGTGCCCTGGAGGAGTGCCATGCACATGGTGAGTAGGAGCCTACAAAGTGTGAGCCCAGGCCCAAGGGATGACATTGTAGGGAGTTGCTACTGGGCAATTATGGGGTGGGGGCTACAGAAACTGGCCAAGTGGGTGTCAGGAGGCAGCTGAAGCATCTGCCCTGGTCCTGATGACTCCTTCTATCCATCTGTCCACACCCTTCCTCCCTATCATCCTTAACCTCTTCACCTCATCCTCATAAAACTCTGCTCCTCTCCATAGCCTCAGTACTGCTGGCCCCACGGGGACAGGGAGTAGGCACCCCTTTCACATGTGTGCACATGAGCTTACACGTGCACGTGTGCACGTGTGTGGACATGCGCGCGCACACACACACACACACGCGCGCGCGCACACACACACACACACACACACACACACAGTAGACACAACACAAATACACAGGGCCACGTGTCTCCAGGACCCCAGAGCACGGGCTATGTACTATCCTCAGCATCCAGGGCCCAGCCGGCACCCGAAGCTGGGGACAGGCCTGGTGACCAGGCCGTGGCCAAACGCCTCGGCCTTCCTCTCTTGGACCCCAAAAAGGGGGGCTAGGGAAGGGGTGGCTTCTCTCCACTCCAGGCACTGCCTTAAAGAAAACGGCGGACTATGCCCACCTGGCGGGCCTCTGGAGGGATCTGCCTATCTGGCTCTTGAGCTTTCCCCCACTTCTTTAGTATCAGCAAATCAGGAAAGAAAGAGGCAAAGCAGGGAAATGGCTCCCAGAGCCCCCACCCCCAAGCTGGACTCATGGGGGTGTGGCCGGTACTTCCTAGAAATGGGGCCCAGTGGAGTTCTGGCACCCCTCCCTGGCTGAGCCCTCAGGTTCTCCCCTCACCCAAGGCAGGGCGCCGGGCAGGGCGTTGTGCATAAAGTGGTGGGGGCGTGATGGGGACCCAGGTCTTGGCCCTTGGGGCCTCATTTGGCCCCACTCAGGCTTTCAGCTGATGCCACTGGGCCACAGGCTGCCGGGGGCGAGCGATCATGTCCTTCCAGTGTTTAACTTCGCCCGGTCCGCTCTTCCAGGACAGGTAGATCTGGGAAGGAAGAGAGGAGGTATTATGGCAGGCTCTGAGGCTTGGGCCCTGTCTCACAGTAACAGCCCGTCCCACAGAGGCTGTTCCTTTCCCTCCTTGCCAGCCTGACCTAGTTTCCTGCCTGTGCTATCCCTCAGGGGCCTGGACATGCCTGGCCCTTTGACATCAGACTGTAGCTATTTTGTGGTGAAGGTCAGGGCACAGGCAGTTGACTTGGGTGACCTTCCTTGCCCTACGAGGTGGCACCATTGTTACTGTCTCTTCCATCTCCCGACATTTCCTGCCACCACCCACCCCAAGGCTCTGCACTAGGGACCTTTCAACGTACCCTTACAAACCTGACAGGTGAACAAACTACACGACTAGCCCCAGTTTTCAGATGGGGAAACCAAGGCACACAGAGTTAAGAGTTTAAATGTTCAAAATGGTACAAGGCAGGTCTTGGGGGTTCTAGACTACTAATCCTGTCCAAGCTAATGTCGGGACTCCATAACTTGCACGGTTGCCCCATAAGTCCTCCAAAGTATGCTCAGCCGAGCCTGGCCTGGGCACTGGTGGGTGCTTAAGACCAAGGACACTGGAAGAAAGTGCTGCAGGATCCTGGCCAGGGCACTAAAGCCATCAAGATGACAGTTTAGAGGGCGAGAAACTGTCTCAGTCCAAAGAACCTGGGGGGCTTGACAATGGGGTACAATGTGCTAGCTAGTACTGGATCCCGGACCAGAGGCGGGGCATTAGCGGAAGAACTGACCAAATGCAAATGAAGTCTGGTGGCTTCACAGCAAGGCCCCATGTCAGTTCCTCAAGCTGTGACAGATGCAATGTGAGGGGCCAGCAATTGAGGACACTGGGCAAGAGGGATATCGGTACTCTATGCTATCTTTGCTACTTTCTGTAAATTTAAAAACTATCTGCCAGGTTTAGTGTCTCATACCTAAAACCCTCACACCGAGGCAAGGGAACTGCTTTGAATGAGGCCCTGGAGTCACTGCATAGAGCAGGTACTGTGGCACTGGCCCATAACCCCAGTGTTTGGGAGGTAGAAGCAGCAGGATCAGACATTCAAGGTCATCTTCAGCTATAATGAGTTGGAGGCCAGCCTGAGCATGGCGGTGCATGCCTTTAATCCTAGCACTAGGGAGGCAGAGGCAGGGGGAGCTCTTGAGTTCAAGACCAGACTGGTCTATACAGTGAGTTCCACATCTACCAGGGACATACACATATAGGGAGACTATCAAAACAAAACAGTGGAAAGCAAACTTCTGTTACTGAATAGATAACCGCATTTGCCAAGGTCAGGAACATTTCAAAACTAACTTCTATTATAATAGAAGCTATGTGTATGCTCCAAGTGCCAGACTAAACACTTCACTCTGCCCTTATAAATATTCCCACTCCATTGTGTAGCCAGGATAACTTCCCTACTCGCATTCTGAGCAGAGGAAGTAAGATTCAGAGAGGTGACAGCCGTTAAGGGTGGAGTTCCAGGGCCAGAGGTACAGGTCAGTGGAAGTGTATGCCTGTGTTCCATTCAAATGCCACAAAACAAACAAATGAACAACAAAACCAGAACCCCACAGACTTCTGTGCTCATACTTCCAACATTGAATCAGAAACACAGGAATGTGATTTTCAAAGAGTGGAGGGTTTATGTCACAGAATTGTGTAGAAAAATTCAAATCAGGTCTGGGTCTGGCTTCTTGTTTAATATGCAAGAAGAGATCACCATTGCTGGTTGAGGCAGAGGCAGAGAGGCAGAGAGAGAGGCAGAGAGGCAGAGAGAGAGGCAGAGACAGAGGCAAACAGGCAGATCTCTGTGAGTTCGAGACTAGCCTGGTCTACAGAGTGAGTTCCAGGACAGCCAAGGTTACACAGAGAAAACCTGTCTCAGGGAAAAAGAAAAAAAAAAAAGAGAGAGAGATCATCTTCACCCAGAATCTCCATCTATTTCAGGTGATTCTTGCCTGACTCTGGAAAGTTCTGGAGGGCTGGCATTAGCTTCGTTTTACAGATAGGAACACAGAAGCTCAGAGAGGCCAAGTGACTTACTCCAGGCCACCCTGGAGTGCAAACCAACTAGGAGCTAAAGTCAGGTCTTCGGTTTCTGGCAAGGGCTCCACCACAACACCATCTAGGTCATTCCATGAGCAGGGCTGAGCCAGTCTGAGAGCCCACTCAGAAAACCTTTAGGGAACTCAAGGCACTTCCCCTGTTTCTCCTTTCCCTGTCTGACTGGGTCTTTCCTGGGGTCCAGGCCTGTGCTCATCCTAGCCCCTGCTGTCTCTTAAGGACAAACCCTTGTGGCCCTGGCTATGCGCCACATCCAGCCCTACCTTGCCAATGACGTCATTGCGGCTGAGCTTGTCTTTATCCATGACAGTGATGATAATGGTGGTCTCCCTCAGCTTCTCTGTGGGGATGTCGAAGGCGAAAGACTCATTGAAGATGGGATTCAGATTCCTCTTCTTGGTTACCGTCTTCTTTTTCTCTACCCGCTTGTCTTTATACATCAACCACACCTTCACGTAGGGGTCTGGGGGCAGTAGAGGAAGGGTCAGAGAGATGGGGTGTGTGTGTTGGGGGGGCTCAAGGACCCTCATGCCCTTCTAGGCGCAGAAACTTAAGCAGGAGCTGGCTACATGCTTTCTAAGAGGGTGGTGAGGCCAGGTGAGGGCAAGAACAAGAGAGATTAGGGATAATCAGCAGGTGGACACTGCCCTAACGTTTTATGCTGGCGCTCCAGACAGCTCTCCCAAGGCCACACACAGTGGCATGGAAGCTAGGACTGGGGTCTCCCCACCACAATGTTTCTTTTCTTCCTGATTCAGGGATGCCTGGTTGCTAAGATGACACCTGACCCGGAGTGTGTCCAAAGAGTCCCGCTGTCTGTAGTCAGGGTAGGGGGCCAGGGTTAGGGCCCCAATACCCTTCTATCCTCCACATCCAGCATGACCCTCATGTCGCGGAAGCTCCCCAGCTCCCCACACCCGCCTGCCCATCCTGTCATGATGAGTCTCAGCACCTGACGTGCCCCCGATGTCCATGGCTTTGAGGTTGCGAGCTTTGATGATGTTCACGATGATGGAGTTGGCAGAGGGGTTGTAGCAAAGAGACAAGAGCAGCTCCCCTCGGCTCCCCTGTAGGGCAACAGGAGGGGTGAGGTGGGGTCATAGGGACGGGATGCTCCCATGACCTCGCTGTAGAGGTGACAGGCGTGAGAACTGGAAGGGAGGGTGTGGTTAGAGCCCAGCTGCCCGCAGGTCCCTTCTGCCCTCTCCTGGGTGATGCCAGCCCCTCTGCCAGTCACTATCATGCCATCTCCTCTCCTCTGGCAGGTCTGTGCTTACTCAGGACTCCTGATTCCTTAACCAGAGCCCTGGGCTCATTGCACAGCTCAGGTGATTCCCCAGCTTCTAAGCCCCAGCACATAGCCATAGGTAGGAGCAAGCTCTCCGGGGCCGTCCATCAGGGCTCCACTGGTATCCTAAGGCTAGGGGTGGCTGGGCACCCTCTGCCAACCCTGACCACATTGCTCTGGCTAGAGGACTGCAGGGGGTCTTACACTCCCATCGCTGCATGGCTTCAGATCCTTCCAGAAGGTCTGCATCTGGGTCAGGTCCACCTTGTTGAGAGGGATGGACACCTCCCCAATGGGGTCATTGCGGCTGAAACGGTCGTAGTCCAGGACCTGGAGGTAGAGGACCCTCTGCACCACTTTCTCATAGGGAAAGCCTGGGGGGGAAAGATAAACAAGGCGATGAGGGTTATCACAGGGACGAGAGAAGGAAGCGGAATGGAGGGAAGGGAGATATGGAGAGAGGGAGGGGAGAGGGGGAAGGGGGGCAAGGGAAGAGAAGGGAGGAGGGAAGGCAGGAAGGGAAGAATGGGGGCAGGGAAGGAGGAAGGCCCTGTGAGTGGGGCTGGCCTTGTGTCTTCTGTCAGCAGTCTAGGCCAGGGGGCCACAGCCGACTGCAGTAGTGCTTTCAGAAGTGCCAGCAAGAACTCTGCCTCATGTGACCCAACAGATGGGGGAAGCAGGCTTAGATGGTTTACATGACAGTCCCAGGGCCAACAGGAAGATCAAGGCCATTAATGTGAGCACTGCCTGTGTGTCCATTTTGGGTCTGGGCAGTGGCCCCTTTGTTCTCTGGATAAAATCTGGGCAACTGGCTCTGCCTGACCCAGGAAACAGGGGGGTAGGGAAACTAGAAAGGTGCCTGTGAGAACAGACCAGCTTCTGGGGCTCTGCTTTCTCCACTGCCTCCCCAGGCATCAGCCTGTCTACCTGCTCTTCCTAAACTGACCCCATGTTGGGTACCCAAGCCGCCAGCATCTCTTACCTAACAGCCACGAGTGTGTCCAAACCGCCCTCCCCACTCCCAAGCTTCTTCTCATGGTCCATTCTCAACCCTGTGGCCACATCGATTTTTTAAAAATAGCCGGCATGCCACAGCCCGCTCCTTTTAACATCCCAGTGTACTCAGAAGGAAAGCCAGCCTACCTTGCCTTCCGAAGTGTGGCCCCAGTGTCTTCCCACTGTGGGCTGGAACCCTCTTCCCTCTAGGCTCCATCCCTAGAGACTTTCCCCCAGCCCTGAGAAGTCCTGGCTCTGCCTGCATCAGGACCTAACCTGCAGGCCACACCATGCCTGCTCTATCCGGTTCTCAACTTTTACATTTAGGTTCTCCCTCCTGGTATCACAGATGGGCGGGCTGCCCTGTAACACACTCCATCACTCTCCTTTCTTGGCTCTAGGGTAAGCCCAAACAGATTTATCCATCTGTCTCCTCCATTATCTTACGGCTTGCCTATCAGGCCAGGATAGGCACTTGATATTTTAAAATTACATTTATGTCTGTGCATGTGTAAATGTGTTTACATGTGTGTGCACATGCTCATGTGACATATGGTTACGCATGTGCCTCAGTGTGAGTGTGGATGTCAGAGGAGAACTTGGCAGGGATCGGTTCTGTCTTTCCACCTTGTGGATCCTGAGAATCAAACAGAGGTCGTTAGGCTTGGCACCACGCCCCTTGGCACCACGCCCCTTACCCACCGGGCCACTTCGCTGGCCCCGATAAATATTTGTCAAGAGAATAAATAATGGAGGCTGGGGAGATGAGCCAGTGAGTAAAGCCCTACCGCGCAAGTGTAAGGGCCCGAGTCTGGACCCCCAGCACCCATGTGGGGTGATGGTGGGTACTGGAACCCTAGCCCTGGGGAAACTGCGGGTTTGGTGGAGACAGGCGGATCCCTGGGGCTTGCTGTCCAGCTCCTCCAGCAAATCGGGAAGCCCTGGGTTCAGTGAGAGACGCTGTCTCAAAACTGGAGAGATGGCTCAGCAGCTGAGAGCAAGCTCTGTTCTTGCAGGGTTTTTGCTCATGTACACAATAAACACACATCAAATATTTTCTAAAAAATGGTCAGAAGCATTGAAGAAGACACTAAGTATTGACATTTAACTTCTATACATGCACGCGCGCGCGCGCACACACACACACACACACAGAGGACAGAGATAATAAATAATTGGGTGGATGAAGAAATGCTAGTGAGCTGGCCTAATGGAGTGGCCAAAATGAAAGGGGGAAGGGAGAGGGGCAGGTGTGAGCTCTGTGAGGCACAGGGGACCTAGGGTGGGTGCAGGACAGCCTGGAGGACAGCCTGGAGGTGGTGTGAGATAGTCTTTCCCATATGGCAAAAAACTAACCCATCAGAACCTGTCTTGAATGGCTGGTTTTGAGGGATGTTTTTCTCTGCACACCAAGGGGAAAGCATACAGGGTTCCCCCAGAACATGACTTAATTATCTGCACAGCTTTGTCCTCCGTGAGACTGGAGTGACTAGACAGCTGTAGCAATGCCTCATTCTTTTCTGAACTCCCAGGATCCAGCTGAAATTTGGTGATGAGCAAATGCTTGTGTGAGGGACTTGAGGATTGGGGCTTTGCCCTTAAGTCTCACCCATGTGCTAGCTATACATGCCACCAGAAGCCAAGCCTCTGGTTGGCTGTGCCATCTCTAACCTGGTGCCCATGCTGACCTGGGGAGGAGGGGCCTAGAAACACAGACGCACTTACTACATTGTCAAGTCATGAGAAGCTCAGACGCTGATGGGCTTGGACCCAGATGGGGAAGAGTCCCTGGGACCGGAAGGGCAGGGCACTTCAAAGCGATTGTAATCCTATAGGGGGTGATTTCCCCTGGTGGAGACAGGTTATGGCGAAAGAGTTAAGGCTTCCCGTGGTAGGACCTGCCACCTCAGGCCTGGGAAAGGAACAGCTCCCTCACTGCCCACCCCGTGTCCTCAGACACAAGAGATAGAAATGGCTTTGGGAGCAAGGGCACATTCAGTTCAATGACTCTTGGAGCCAGAGGGAATGGCTCTGAGATCTTGCTCACCTCACCTCCCATGGTGGGGAGGGATCAAATGCCAGCAACAGACCACATTTTCAGCAGGTCAATATTGGCATCTTCTGGATGTCAGGGCCTGCTCTAGATGCTTGGAAAAGTTACTAATTTGTTCAATTGTCATTATTTCTCTTTTATAGCTAAAGATACCCAGGACCAGACGGGTTAGGATATTGCTTAATGCCACACAGCTAGTAAGTGAGAGAGCTGAGATTCCAGCTCAGACAGCCTAGAGCAAGGGGCTGATGGAGATGAAGATGAGGATGAAGAAGAGTCCCAGGTTCTGGCACTTCCACTAGATGCATAAAGGCCCTTCACATGGTTGCTCCAGAGCAATGCACAAGCTGGGATTCTAGCTGTACAGTCTCCCTCTCCAGCCTGTGGCTGGGGTTCCAGCTGTACAGTCTCCCTCTCCAGCCTGTGGCTGGGGTTCCAGCTGTACAGTCTCCCTCTCCAGCCTGTGGCTGGGATTCCAGCTGTGCAGTCTCCCTCTCCAGCCTGTGGCTGGGATTCTAGCTGTACAGTCTCCCTCTCCAGCCTGTGGCTGGGATTCCAGCTGTACAGTCTCCCTCTCCAGCCTGTGGCTGGGATTCCAGCTGTACAGTCTCCCTCTCCAGCCTGTGGCTGGGATTCCAGCTGTGCAGTCTCCCTCTCCAGCCTGTGGCTGGGATTCCAGCTGTGCAGTCTCCCTCTCCAGCCTGTGGCTGGGATTCCAGCTGTGCAGTCTCCCTCTCCAGCCTGTGGCTGGGGTTCCAGCTGTACAGTCTCCCTCTTCAGCCTATGGCTGGTACACTGACTTCTCTCATCTCCTGGGGCCAGTCTCAGCTAGAAGCAAAATGCATTGGGTAATCCGGGCATGTGTGTGCATGAAATTAGTATGTTCATGCATTGTATATGCATGTGTGTGCACTTGCACGCATGCATTTGTTCATGTTTCTTGCCTGTAGCCAGAGTGGGATGGATTCAGCGTGTGTGTGTGGGGGGCAAGAGGCATGCTGGGCGTGGCACCAGCCTCACCTTCAAAGAGGAAGGTCTCGTTCCAGTGTGGGTTCAGGTTCTTCCGCTTCACCTTGGTCTCCAGTTTGTGCTTCTTGTCGGGTAGCAGGTAGATCTTGACGAAGGGGTCACTGGTGCCACTGAAATCCTTGGCTGGCAGCTCCTGGGCCTTCATGACCTTCACGGTGAGTGTGGACTCCTGGAAGTTGTAGCCAACGCTGAACTGGATGCGGCCCAGGTTTTCTCGGCTGCAGCCCTCATGGGCCTCATCCTCCTCGGAGCCCGGGGAGAGCTGCAGTGGGAAAAGATGGCAGGTTGCTGGGGATTCTGTCTCCACACGGCTCCCAGGCAGCACGGCAGGGTCCACAACAGCATGACAAGCCGACTTCTTGTGGTCACAGCATGACTGGCTGGGGTGGTGGCCTATCCCATTCATGGCCAGTAGAGGATGTCCAGGCTCTGAGAGCCCTGACTTAACCAGAAAGGGAAGGGAACAGGGCCAGGATGATTCTGCATCATCCTGTGAGCAGAGCTGTGAGCAGGAGACCCACATTCCCACCTCCCCTTGAAGCCACAAGTCTGCTCAGCTCTAAGAGCTACCCTGAGCTGTCCTGGCCTCCCTCCCCTCCTTTTCCAGCCCCATGGCCTCCTGGGAGGCATCCCAGCTCTTACAAAGGAGGCTCTCCGGGGACTGTGGATGATGCAGTTTACAAGATGGCATTTGGGAGATAAGATGAGAGGTTGGCCAGGCTGTCCCCAGGGAGTCTGACTGAACCAGGCTGGGGTCCCTGGGCACTGAGGTTGTACCTCCAAGCTATGGCCGTTCCCAGTCTCCACTCCTCAGGATAGAAGCTTGGATAGGCATGGACAGTAGCGGATAGTCATAAGGAGGGACCGGGTGCCACATTTTCATCTCAACACAGGAGTGGCAGTTGGGAGAGAGCAGTTGGGATCTGCCAGTTGGGGTACCGCTCACTAGGAATGATGGAGGGCCTTGGGGTCAGGGGCCTTCCTGGCCTGGGTGTCTTTGAGTCCACATCTCCTCTGGCAATAGATGGGAGTCAAGAGTAGGTCCCAGGAAATTGCAGATGGGACAAAATGGTAGGCACTTGCTTTTTCCCCACACTACCTCAGAAAATCCTTGGGTCCCTCCTGCTTCCTGGAGTGGCAACCCCAGCTTCTCAACACAGAGTATCACAGATGACATAAGGCAGACAGAGGCACCTACCATGGCAAAGACACATCACCTTCTTACTGCCGAACCAGGCAGCTGTCACCTGCCTCTTGCTGAGGAGACTGGCTCAAGGAGGTTAAATCACATGTCCAAGCTCGCATAGCAGTCAGGACCCTCTCTGACTTCAAGCGCCACTCTTTCTACCAAAGCCCGCCCAGACCCCAAGTCAGTGTAAGGCCCTCCCTGCAGACACTGAAGCAAAGACACGCCTGCACTGAGCAGAGTGTCCAAGTTAGATCGATGATGGCAAATACTGCAGCTTACCAGCCACCTGCCGTAGGCCACACCCTCGGCATCTTCTGTGCCTTCCTATATCTTAAGGCGGGCTCTAGTATGTTCAAAGTTTGGCTTGGAGCACAGAGATATTAGGTCACTCACCTCAAGGTCCTATGATTGACTGGCCAGTCAGAACTTGAAACCAGGTTTGTGGCCAGCAACAGTGGGTGCCTGGCTCCCTAACTTGGACCATAGTTTGAATCTGGCCTCTGGCTCCACCCAGTGGCCAAGGGGGGAATAGCAAATTGCACTGTTTATTTATTTATTTATTTATTTATTTATTTATTTATTATTTGTATCTCTGTGAGACTGGGGTTCATATAGCCCAGGCTGGCCTCTAATTCTCTATGTTGAAAAGTTGGCCTTGAGCCTCTGATCCACCTGACTTCTGGGACATGTGCCACCAAACCTAGTTTATTAGGTGTTAGGGAATCCAACAGTGCTTCATGCACATTAAGCAGGCACTCTACCAACTGAGCTACACCCCTAGTCCATTGCTGATGCTCCTGTTTACCCCCTAGCTGATACTACTGCCCACAGGCTCTATCCCAGCCCCCCACGTGGCTTTCCATGTAGAGACCTCCATCCCCATTTTCCCTCAGCTTATAGCAATCCTCCTCTTCCCCTGAACCTGCAGGTTGGGGACCATGGAACCAGGAGGGTGAATGGGTACATGGCACAAGCAGGCAGAGCCAGCCAAGACCACCTGCACACCACTTCCCTCTCATATTATGGAGAAGTCTTAGGCCACTGAGGTGTAGTTCCCGCCACTCTTGGGGGGAGCCTGGGCTGTCTAGGTGGACTTTCGTTTGAAAGGGGCAGAGCCTCTATAGCCACTTGCTCAGCTTTCTCAAGGCCCAGCCCTGATTCCTAGTGAACAAGCCATTTCCATAGCAACCAGGCTGCCTAAGTTTCCCCTCCTCTGCCCCAAACCTCTGTCCAGAAGTAAGCCCTAAAAGACATCAAGTCAGCCTGTGCCAGGTCCCACGTTCCCCAGTGGGGATGGGTTCGTCATCTCTAGGAATCTGACTCCTTCCTGGCCCTCAGCTTCTGCAGCTTGGGGACTGCAGAACACCATGGGGTGAGGTCACAGGACACACTCTGTCCTGCTTATTTTTTTACTGTCACTGTTAATATCAATGACCTCGAACTGGCAGAGGGTTGGGCAATTAGCCTCGCTCTCCCACCCCTGGGCATCTGTGGAGTACATGAGAGGGAGACCGGCCTGTACTTCCTTCCGCTGCTTGAGTCTGCCAGCCTCTCCCTGAGGGCAGCAAGGGGCCAGCCAGCTGGCTGGGAAAGGGCTGCCCCTTCTGGGAACCTGACTACCAGGAAATAGCACTAATTAAGGGGCTGTGCAAGCAGGCAGGGTGGTCTGTGGTAATGGGCTGCCCAGAGCAGAAGATAGCCAGTCAATACAAAGTTGGAGATAGGAACTCAAAAAGGGCCAGGCCAAGAGAAATGCAGACTTGGGCTCCACCTCAGGCCTGATGCCTGGAAACCTGAATCCTTACCCAGGTGACTTGTGTGACTCTGTGTGCATATTGCTACTTGAGACAGGTCAAGCTGGCAGGAAACTATAGGTCTGGGCGGTTAGGAGTGGCTAGAATCCTGCCTCCACAGGGAGGGAGCCAAGGAGACCCCTTATGTCCAGTAGGAAGAGAGGGTGCTGGGTTCCCACCACAACCCTCTCTGAGCCTTCGGGGAACTTCTGGCCCACCAGACCCTTAACTGGTTCTTGTCTGCTAGCTTGCTATGCCTGTCCATGGGCCTCCCTCTGGAGATTAACCCAGCATCTCTCTGGAAAGTACAAGTAACTGTGACATACTGTTGCCACCAGGGGGTATCATGAGAACTGCGGCCCCAGCTTTGGTCAGCAACCTAGATGGGGATCATAGGCCTGTCAGGAACAAGGAGCGACTGAGATCACTGGTGGGCTATGGAACAGTCACCCCTGGGAGCCCACTTTACATCTCTACTCAAGGGAACGCCATTGGAGGGAAGGGACACCTGCCTCAAAGGTCACTGCTGGATAGCCTCTTCTCTCAGGACATAAAAACATCTTTATGAGTAGGTTTCTTAGGCTTTTCCTCAGCAGAAAAAGATCAAAGGAAGACAAAAGAGGGAACTGAAGCATGGAGAGGCATTTTGATGAAAGAGCGGGGAAAAGAAACCAGGCCTCATTCAGTCAGCAAACACTGAGGAGCCATTATGCTGGGACTGAGTATCTAAGTCTCTCTGACTAAGTCGCCTACTTCTGGTCCCCCCACAGCCCATCCCCAGCCCTTCTCACCATGAGCATCTCGCTGGTGAGGGAGTTGACAAGGTCCGAGACAGAGGAACGGGGCTCCGTTCTGCGGTCAGACTCATCGTGAGGCGTCTGGCCAGGCACTGGGGCTGTATTCACAGCCTTCCCTCCTGCAGGCAACCTGGAGGTTGGGGGTGGGGTGGGGAGAGGTCAATGAGTATGGCTGGCAGGTGGGGCTGGGCTGGACTCCATGGGCCTGGGTGGCCACAGGATCTTCTCTGAGAACTCAGCCCCTGTCACCTCCTGTGGGCCAGCAGGAGTGAAGCCCCGGTTCACAGCCTGGTTTTCCCTGAAGACCCGCATTCAGCGCTCATCCTCCCTGAGCCTCTTCCTTAAGTGACTGGCTGAGATGTCCTGTGGGAGCTGTTTAAGAGGGGCCTTCATCGTTTCTGCCACCCCCTCCGTCCCCCACCCTGTTCTCTGGCTTACATGGCTATTCTCTGAGCACCCCTGTTCTGCAGACGTCTTCTCAGTCTGGGAAGGAGGAGGCGCCAGGTGGCCTGGCCAGGTGTCTCTCCACGTCATTACCCTCTGCAAACACTCCACAGCCTCTCTCCCAGAGCTCCACCTGTGTTTGCTCAGCCTTAGCAGAGCCAAGGTGAGGCTGAGACCACTGTCCACATGGCTCTGTCTGGCAGTGTCTGCTTCCACAGACGTCTTTTGCTGTCTCGTGCAGTGCCAGCTATGTGCTTGGAATCTACATTTACCGTGTGACCAGCGTGAAGGAGTACTAACTGTGTGTGTGTTTGTATGTGTATATGTACATGCACATGTATGTGCATGTGTGTGGTGGCCTTGATGGTCATTCTTCGGTGCTATCTCTCTTGTTTCAGACACAGGCTCTCATTGGCTAGCCAGTGAACCTCAGGAACCTGCCTGGCTTCACCTCTCCAGCACAGTGGTTGCAGATCCACCACGCTCTGCTTTTCTTTTTACCATAGGTTCTAAGGGCTCAAGGCCTGTGCTTGTGTGGCAAGTCTTTTACTGACTGAGCTATCACTCCGGACCCAAGCATGGACATTTAATTCTGATTTAATGCAAGCTCTTTTATAGGCTGAAGATGTAGCTCACTGGTAAAGGGCTTGCTTATGCAACATTAATCAAGACCCTAGGTTCTGTTTCAAACATGACACAAAAAAGTGCCACACCCATTCATATTGAATAGCCATCTTTGGGCAGGGCCTGTGATGGCCTCATGTGCCCTGGTCCCCACCGTGTTCCCCACTCACATACTTAATAAGACTCTTACCCCGAGTCAGAGAAAGACAGGCTGCCACCTAGCAGGCAACCATGGCCACGCCCAATGCCATACTGGTCCAGAGAGCTGGGATCTCTGGTTTAACAGCCAGATAATGAACCCAGGCTCCATTCAGCTGGGACTTAGGAAGGGACAACTAAGACTCTGCCCAGGGACCAGACTGGAATGTCTCATGAGGAGGAAGAGGTGGGGACAGGCAGTAAGGAAGAGATGGCATAGAGCTTGGGGCAGGCTAAAATTAAACAGCTTTGAGAGCACAGAGGCTGGATACAAGCCACATCCCCCGACACAGACCAGCTTGAAATACACGGGCGGCCACAGTAGGCAGATACAGACATGCTTGGAATATGCCAGGCCCTGGGGGAAGACACCAGGACCCAACAGCAGGGCGTGCACACACAGACGCACAGACACACACACACAAAAATTCACACAAGCCCAACAGACACCTAGAGCAACAGGGAGAAGACAGCCCGGGCAGCAGGCAGGGTAGCAGGGGTCTCTGTGGTGACACACACAGTTGGAAGCACACTTAAGATTCCCTCAAAGGGGAGACCCAGCCATGCGAAAGTGTGCGTGTGAATTGGAACAAACCAGAAGCAGGAAAGGCAGGGACAGCAGGTCATCGGGTGTTACATCCACCTGCTATGAGACCCTGGCCTTGCTCCGTAACACAGCATGGCATGTCTGCCCACTGCCCGCCCTCTCCCTGAACACCCTAGAGGTTCGGACACACCCGTGCACACGAGCCCTCCCCCCAACATCGCACACACGCACATGGACATGTGCTCATACAGACAGGCACGGGGAGGAAGAGGAGACTGAAATAGCTGGAGAGGTAAAGTCAGGTTAAAAATAGAGCAGGAGAGGAGAGAGCGTGAGATTGACTGCTGAAGGTATGAGAAAGTCGGAGTTATTTTGGCCACACCACAGCGTCAGCATAGCTGCAAAGCAGCCTGGGAAAAGATGGTCAGCACCCCTGAAGCTGTCGGAGGTCACAGGACAGAGAGACAGGCAGAGGGAGAGACAGGCAGAGGGAGAGGTCCAGGGGCTGGTCGCTGGCCCAGGGACACCCCTGTGAGGAGCAGATGGAGGAAGGAGAGAGAGAGAGAGACAGAGACAGAGAGAGAGGCTAAGAAAGGTTAGTCAGACGGGTGGAGAAGACTGCTGGGTGGACAAGGGCACAAGGAGGAGCGTGGCGGCCGACAGGAGAGGCAGAGAGGAGGCGGGGGACACACAGAGGCGGAAGAAACATGGTGGCTTCGGAGGAGGCGAGCAATGGGGGTGGCCTGGTCCGCTCTGCCCCCCACTCGGGGTGGGGGTGGGGCCACGGTGGAAACCATTTGGATCCCAAGGAGCAAAGGTGAAATGCTGGATGGCTGTGAGCACGCATGGCTGGTGTGGGAGATGAGTGGGACGACACAGCAAGGGTCTCCGCCCCCTACCCCACTCCTCACTCAAGAGTACCCGAGGCATACGCTTAGGCCCAGGGCTTGGGGATCCTGGAAGGGAGCCTTCAGGGGCACCAAGAAATGTTGGGTGGGTTGGAGGCAGACTGTCCCTCACACTCCTTGTAGCTTGCTGGATACCCATATTCTTTGCCTGGGTCCTGGAGTGGCTTAGCCTCCCTGTTCTGTCTCATGGGACTCTGTGGCTTAACAGGCCAAGGGGGGGGGTGAGCATTTCCTCCAGCAGCAGCCAAGGACCTGGGCAAGGCGTCGGCTGGGGTGGAAAAGGCATGCTTTCGAGGAAGGGACAGATGAGCCAGCCGGCGGCTGTAAGGCCCAAAGGTCAAAGGGTAGGTCCCTAAGGTGCTACAGCCTATGCCAAGCTATGGGATAGGGGCACCTGCTAGGGAGGAATCACCTGAGTCAGCAGGTCCTTGAAGCTGCCCACCATTTGGAGACACCCCAAGAGCTGTGAGAAATGAGTTTCAAATGTGGGAGGGCATGAATAGGTGGGGATGGCATGTGTCCACTCGGAAAGTGGGGCTGGATGGTGGGGAGGGCCCACGGCAGGCCTCCACCTCCAAACCCACCTTTCCCAGGCAGGCGGAGGACAAGCTGATGTCATGATCAGAAGGGATAGCTGTACTAAAATATGGAGACCTGAGTGGCAAGGAGGTATAAATAGGCTGTGGGGTGAAAATGGGGCCGGTTAATTAACACATGGGTGATGTGAAATCTCGTTTCCAGCCTGCATCTGCTCCCTCACGCTTCACACCTTCTCCCCCAACCCTTCCTGGCAGAGAGAGGGCCTGGGTTCTTGGCAGGCTTTCAGAGGGCTCCAGCCCCGCCCTGTATCCTGTAGCCCCTGGTCCCACCCTTCTCCTCCAGGCCCTCTGCCAGCCTGGAGCCCATCTTGGAGAGCCTGTGGCTCCTGCCAGACCCAAGTAGGTAAGGGGTGGCAGACTCTGCTACTCCCTCAATCTCCACTTCACATACATGGGCTCAGGAACTGACACCAGCTGTGCCACCAAGCGAAAGGACAGTTCTCATCCTCCCCTCCGACTCGCTAGAGACGTCCGACCCACTAGACATGCAACGTGGATTCAGGGCGGGAAGGAAAGAGAGGGCTGGTCTCCAGAAGCCACTGTGAGATGATAGCCAGTTAGCTGTCACAAACACCCTACCCTGCTTCCCTAAGCTACAAGCCCCTGGCAGCAGCCCGGGGCGGTCCCTTCCTGTCCCTAGCAGCCTCTAATGAGCATCAGGGTTACCAGTCTAAACCTGATCTCAGCCCAGCTCACAGGATCTGACAAGTGCCCTGGCCCTTGGGCCCATTTCCTCATTAGAAGCTTTGTGTGTTCAGTCTTTCATTTGACAGAGGCTGGGGCAGAAGCCTAGACAGGGTCTCCGACTTGTCTGAGGTCACAGAGTGAGGCTCTGGCTACACCAATGCTGGCCCACAGGCCCTACCATAGGCCTTTGGACTCCTGGGAAGCAGAACTGAGCACAAGCAGCTGTGAGCCCAGCCGAAGGCCAGGTCAAGGGAACAAGTAGATAAGGACTCCATCTTTGGGAGTGCTAATAAACCCTGCAACCTTCCACCCTCCCTTTACCTATGAGCAGTGTCCACCCACTCCTTGACACCGAGGACAGCAGGAGATGCTTCCCTGAATCCCAGGTGGCGAAGGCTAGGAGGTACAGCCTGTACTGCAGCCACCTGGCTACTCCTGGTCTTCACAGGGCCCTGAGGAAGGCAACAGGGAGCCTGGCAGAGCCAGACCCTGCCCTCGCTGTGAACGGCTGGCCCCACTTTCCATTTCTGGAGGTTGTGCTCAGGGGCCACCCTTCTGGTCCCTTCTGGTCACCAGGCCTCTCCCATTGTTCCTCATCCCAGACCCTCCCCGCCAGGGGCTCCTCTTCCATGGCTGAGTAGCAGAACAGGCCCTGCAGGCCAGAGGGAGGTTGAGGTGGTGGGGATGAGGAAGAACGGGCTTACGCCATTCCCCCAACATCCCCTCCTCACACAGCAACCACCAGAGAAACAGGGATTTCTGGGTTGGGGAGGGGGCAGAGATGAAAGATGGAGGGGCAGCAGAGGGAGGCAAGCAGGGAGATGGGGCCCAGGAGGCTGGGCTTGCTCCAGGCCAGGACAAGCATGCTGGGGAACAGGCTTGATCCAGAATGGTCCCAGGATGGTCCCTTCAGTGACCCAAGGGACACCACTGACGTGGTCAGGGGACAGAACACCAGCTGGAGGGCTTCTCCTCCCACTCCAGCATCGGCTGAAGACACCACCACCTCGTCCAGTCCAGCAGTTGGGGCCGGCTGAGGCAGGTGGCCTCTCCGTGCCTCCTTCTCTGCCGCCGCCGCCGCAGGCCTCGCCCGTGCTCGTACCTCTTGTCCCCCTGAGCGTTCTGGTTCTGCTGGGTTCCTGGGTTTTGCAGGTCAGGGATATTGGCAAAGTCATCCTGTTCCGAAAGCCCTAATACCAGGGATAGCACCACCATCCGGCCTTCCCTGCCCAGGATGGGCAGCCCACCAGCCAGGGTGAAAGGAGGCAGCCCCGTGGACAGGGCAAGGGTGAGGGGAGGAGAGAGACAGAAACAGAGAGAGAGAAGAGAAAAAGCGTAAGAAACTGGTCCTGGAGAAAAGAAACCAAGCTTCAGAACTGTAAGTGGTTGGAGAACTGAGGGGGAGCAGAGGGGAGGTCCAGCTGGCTGTGGGCCAAGAGCTGCAGTCTCTGAGGTGACATGGGAAAGGTGCTAGGCACAGGCCTGAGGAGAGGACTTAGGTATCTGGGATAGTACCCAGGGAACACACAGGCTGGAGAGTGGAGCAGAGGCCCTGGGACATGGTATCCCCAGATGCATCACTCTGATTATCTGTTCCCTGGGAGAGGGGGAAGAGACTCTCTGAATATTTTGTACAGGGCATGTTCAGGGAGGTTTGGGACACAGGCGAAGCACTGTAGAATAATCTGACATCCAATGGACATAGTACACTGTGCTCAGGGATGCCCTTCACAGATCTCGGGGTCCTTGAAACCAGCTATGCAGCTTCTAGGCTTCCAGATTTACAGCCCATCATAGGAGAATTCCAGTTCTGTCCCTTCTAGGATCCCAGGCAGAGTGGGACTTCTCTCTTGTCTACTTCCCCAGGGAATCAGAGGTGACCAGATGCCTCCAGGACCTGTTCAGCGGAGGCCTTTCCACGGAGGAGCAGTTCAGAAGGCATCGGGGAGCAAAGGTGGAGAGAAAGTCCAGAAACTTGGCAAGGTGTGGGCATGCTTTGGCAGGGCTGCGGGGAGTCTGTGCCTGCAGTGAGACACGGCTCTGAGAGAAGGTGGCCAAAGCAGAGTGGTGGGCAGGCACCAATAGGATGAGAGCGACTTGGAGAGGGTGTGTGGGCAGCAGGACAAGGTCTGAGGCCACACACCTCGAGAGTGGAGGCCTCCTCAGAGAACCTCTGTGTGGAGTTTTGCTGGTGGCTGTTCTCCCTCAAAGCCATCAAAGTCTATGAGTTTGCAGAGGCTTTGTAGAGCTTGAGGGGACCTCTGTAGAGCTCATCAGAACAAAGAGTTAAAGGATTCTCAGGCAGGGCAAGCATGAAACCACGCCTCAAGACGGGCCAAGGGAAACACAGGGAGACTGGCAGAATGTTCCAGAAGGGGGTGGATCTTAGGTCAGGAATCTACACTTCAGGCACTGACAGAAAGCAAGAGCTTCTGTGATTACTCCCCAGGGAGACTGTCAAAGTGGGACCTCTGACCAGACATAGCATCTGGGGTGAGGTATGAGGACATAAGAGTTGTGAAAATGGGAGACGCCACCAGGGTCTGAGAGAGGGGAGGAAGCTAGATGTCGAGGTGTCCTTCTTTTTCCAAGTCTTTGTCCTGGACACAGAGCCACACCAAGCTGACACTTATGCTGGCATCTAACTTTAGGGGCTCGACTCTCCCCTTCCCTCAGGCCGGATCCTGGCTTCTTTTGTTCCTGACTATTGCTAATGTCTGAGTTGGTAAAATTCCATTTGGTTGTTCAGGAGCTAGTTGAGCTGGGGGAAGGCGAACCCAATGAAAACACGTGTTCCTTTTTTTCCCCAGTTAATACATTTTTTCAGATACTGCTTTTGGTCTTCTTTAACACCGAGCTGCTCCTCTGCATAAACACCCAGATTGTCATTCTCGGCAGCTTCGCAGGCCAGGAGGGCAAGGATGAGGAGCTGAGCTGGACTTGGGGGAGACAAACTGGTCTGGCTGGATGGGGTTGCACCTAGCAAGTGGGATGGAGGCACCTCGGTGTGAGGGGAGGACAGGTTCCTGCAAGGCCAGGAGAGCCCTCACAAGTGGACTCTGGGGCCTCTGTATCTGGGGTGAAAGATCCTCGGCAACACAGCCTCTAAGCTGCAAGGCAGGGGTCGGCATACCTCAGCCTGCCAATGGTTCTGGGCAGTCCACAAACTAGGAACCGTTTCTGTAATCTAGAAACACTAAGGGGAAAAAAGAAAGCCTCATGTGGCAGAGACTGAATGTACCCTGCAAAGTATCGGGCCTTTACAGACCGAGTACGCAAGCCCTTATTGTGAGGGAGCAGTAGTGGCTGTGCTGAGCTTGGAGGTGGCCAGCAGGTAAGGGAGTATGAGAGCTGCTGTGGGGGCAGGAGCGTGGGTATGTGATGCTGGCATCTGAGCCATGCCCCAGGATGCTGGCATTTAAGTCACGCCCATCAGAATTCTAGTTGTTTAGGAAGATAGTGGGCCGGAAGAGTTGATATCTGGCCTCAGCCTAAGCAATTGCAGGAAGAACAGGAAGAGGGTGGGCACCCTCCCTCTAAGGGCAGGTGGGGCCCAGCTGCCCCTCAGTTCTGTTCGTGCCACAGCAGAACTGAATTTCTTCATCTCCTATTCCGTGACCACAACACCCATCCCAGAACAATCCATTGCCAAGACAGGAGGCCTTACTGGACATCTCTGGTGCAGCACTTGACTGCCTTCCCAGAAGGCAGGTAGACAGGCTTCCCTGATTTCCCAGGGGCAGCCTTGGGCAGAATGGACAGTAGGTCGTGGTACAGGCCTCTTGCAAGCAAGTGTGGGTACCTAGTTCTGTTGGAGGTGGCTCTTGTCTGAGCTGGAGGCTCTGGCTGGGCTCTCAGATGGAGATGTAACATGCTTTGAGGAACTTGCTTGCCTTCTGGAAGCCCTGTATCTCTCCAGTGGGCTTGGCCTCAGCTTGGGCTTCTCCTCTTCCTCCCAGTTTAATGGTGCCATTCTATACCTAAGAGGTCTCCCAGGGAAGACCGGGCTGGAACAAGGCCCATAGGCCCACAGCTCTCAGCTCCTAATGTGACCATCCCTGTGAGCATGAGGTCAGGGAAGCAGCTAGGGTCAGATGCTGGCTAGCATGGTGTTGCTTCTCCAACCCGGGTCCTTGAAATACCACACTTGGCAGCTCTGGGGGAGTGGCTCAGGTTTGTCCTCAGGGGAGGGTCATTGTGATAGGGCTGAGGTCAGGGATGGTTGGACGGGGAGGTCACGGGGGAGGATGCACGGGCAGAAAGAGCAGTAGAGTCTGGTTACAGACAGGAGGGACACTGGAGGAAGGACTGCAGGGCTCTGGAGATTTAGTGACAGGGACGGGTTGGGGAGAGGTGGAGGAAAGGGCAGTGAGGCAAGGCTGGCACCGTGACAAGAGTAGCTGGGGACTGATGGGGGGGTCAGATCTCAGGACCCGCAGAGCACTTAATTATGTGTTCTCACTAACCCTCAGAGGGCAGGGCTTCTCTTCTCAAGCCTCGGGAACAGTGAGAGGGTCTGCAGAGTTCTAGGGGCTCTGATACAAATCCTTTCATGGTGGGGCTCCAGCTATAGGTCACAAAAGGCTGGGGAGGGGGACCCCTAAACCTGCCAGACACACTGTGGGAATGTGTGTTCCCACACAGAGGAACATGGAACAAGAGTGTCTTGCTTCCTCTGTTCCCAAGGAGACTTGTGGGGGAAAGGCTGGGTTGGGGAGGTGGGGAGCCGGCCCGCTCAAGGGGAGGACTTACAGGAAGGATTTCATGTCCAAGCCTCGGTTTCGAATCTGCCCCACCACGTGGTCCCAGCTGCCTGGGTTGGAGCGGCTGCGGCCCCCAGCTGCCCGGTACTTGGAGCCGGCCGAGGTGCCCTGCCGAGCCTGACCCCGGCCATAGGCCCGGGGGTTGGAGCCCGGTGCCGAGGCCGCATGGGCCTGCAGCTGGCCCAGGCTCTGGCTGGTGGTGGGCTGGCTGGGCTGCCGGCCCCTCTGGTTCTGGCTCAGCGGCTGCTGCAGGCTCTGCTGCCGCATCAGTGTGCGGGGTCGCTGGCATTTCGGCTCTCCCGCGGAGCTGGGGATAGACTCAAGGGTAGTGGCCGTGGACAGGGTGGAGTCCTCGAAACTTGGGGCAGGTGGAGGAGAGGAGAGAAAGGAGAAGCAGGTGAAGGGATCACAGTGCAAGAGAAAGAAGCCGAGGGCCAGGGCTGGGAGGCCCCAGTGCAGGGCTCGCTCGGCTGGACCTCGCCAGGCCTCCATCGGAGTTGTCACTGCTGCAGTCGCTGCCACCGCCTAACCCACCCCGAGGTCCCCAGGCTGGTCCCCCCCCCCACCTCTGGACTTAGCTCGCTGGTTCCCCAGTACCTCTGTCTGGACCAACCTCTTTGCAGGTCTGAGTGGGCCGCAAGAGCTGTGGCAGCTGCGTGGTGAAGGCAGGTCCCCAGGGCCCTATGACTGCCTATCATGTTGGAGTGGGAGGGACAGAGAGCTGCCGCCACCCCTCTGCCATCTCACTAGGGGACACTAGTAACATACGCCTCTGTGTTCTGGGTACTACTGTCCTGAGACAGAAAGAAATCCAGGCCAGCACAGAGCTGGCCTGATAATGGCTGGGGAGGCAGGGCAGCCGTTCTTCAGGCTGTCAGAGGATGAGAGAAGGCAGACTCACACAGAAGCCTGCCTGGTGGCCAGCACAGCTTTGGGATTCAGTTCTGGGGCAGATCTCTGACTTCTTCCTAGGGTATCCTGCCCTGGTGCCTAGGCAATGATTCCCACTCAAAAGTGGGGACCAAGGAAAGAGCAGACAGGAGTGGGGAGTCCCGGAACCAGCAGTCTGCACCCACCCTAGTTCTGACTGGCAGTGGGGGATCTTGCTTCTTCACATATAAGAGGAGGTCAGTACAATAGCCCACCAGCATCTCTAAATGCGCTTGGCAAAGCAGGGCAAGGACAGACAAGAAAATGGTCTGGCTGTGAGAGACCTGGGTTCAAAGCTCACTTCTGCCATTACTAACGGGCAGCTTTCGGTGAGGTTTTATACCTCTTAGCTTCTCAGCTGTAGACAGAGGGTGCAAAACAGCCCTTCACCGGCCTGCTTTGGAGCTGAGGTCAGGGCTGTGCCACTAACTGCTACCATGCCAGGGCTCAAGGGCAGGGGTTTGTGTTTCAGCTTAAGGTTTTGTGTTTCTGCCTGTTTTGTGCTCTGGCCAAAGATTTAACAATTCCTATGACAAGACTGGAGGCAAACTGTCACTCAAGTGGCAGGGAGTCAAACCAGACACTGTGTTGAACAATTCCAAGTAAAGTTCCTTCTCCCTGAGTCTGAGGTTACAGCCTTTTCTTCCTTTCCCTATCCAGCTGTCTGGAATTAGGGGCAGTCAACTATGACCTATAAGCTGAATTTAGCCCACTGCCTCCTTTTATAAATAAAGTTTTACTGGAACCCAGCTGCTGGCATTTGTTTACATTCCACTTGAGGCTGAGCAGTGTGAAAGATGTGGCCTTGACTTGCAAAGCCCGCGTATTTCCTAGCTGTCACTTGGCCCTTTAGTGAGAGAGTTGGTCTATCCCTGCTCAGGGCCACAGGATAGCCAAGTACATCTTGGGAGTAGTAGAAGGAGGCCTCAGGACCCTTGGGAGCCACGTTCACCACAGCAGCCAGACCTCAGCCATGCTCACCCCTGAACTTACTCTGGGAACCAAAAGACAATAGTTAGGTGGCCCCTGTGGGCTTGGCAGAGAGAGAGAGAGAGAGAGAGAGAGAGAGAGAGAGAGAGAGAGAGAGAGAGAGAGAGAGAGAGAGAGAGACAGAATGAGAGAAGAAAGCAAAACATGGCTGTAATTGGGGGTTCTAGGCAGGTAGCAGCCTGGCCTGATGTGGGCTGGAATCAGGGCTCTCCCCAGGGCAGGCCTAGGTCTGTCCAGCCTTGGTAGGCCCACAGCTCAATGGGGGCAGCCAGCTGGGGGAGGGGTGCACACCATCTTCTCTGTTTCCTTGCCGACCTCATTTCTGTTTCCTATCACATCCAAAATTAGTCCAATTTACAACCTTTCAGTCACAGGAAACTAAAACTGGATCCTCCAGGCCTGAAGCCAGTGAGCGAATGCCAAGGAAGCCCAGTCAACCCTGAGCTTGGCTGGGGCAGCCTGGAGGGCAGGGGGATGTGGTTCTCAGATGGGGTGTGAAACATCCATCTCTAGAGACATTCCTGAGATCATATATCAGGAGGGAATGGACTTGTGTCCACTCAAGGCAACGAGCAAATGTGTCCTCAGCCTAGTAGTCCTCCGTGGTTCGATGTGTGTATGTGTGTGGGGGTCTTCTGAAGAAAGCCAGGAGGGCCTTGACTTGAGCTGAATATCCCAACACTAAGAAGGATCAAGGCTGCTGGCCTTCTGAGGGGAGGCTCCTTCACGACTGGAAATGAGACAGTGTCAGCAGCTCAAAGTGGAACCCACTGCCAAATTTGTGAGGTGCTTGTAGTTCAGAGGACCTGGGAATTGGAAGGGCTCTACTGTGGGAGACGGGAAGTTCTGAAAGTCAAGAGGAGAAGAAGGCAGCCTTAGTGGGAAGACAGATGCTGTGTCAACCATCCACAACTGCTCGGCAAGGCCAGGAAGTCATTAAAAAGGGACAGGCTCTTCTCACTACCCTCTGACATTTGAAAGGGGCTGCTTGCTGGGGCTCAACAATCTCAACCCTCAAGATCTCCTATCAGTGGGATAGCTCACTGACCAAGACAGGGCCAGCCCGTGGGGATGGCTGAAATGAGATGAACATTTGTGGCAGCCTGGTGGCTGCTCATAGATGAAATCCTGTGGCAGATGGTGTCATGGGACAAGCAAGGCTGGGACAAGCAGATGAAATCATTCAAAATGGAATGGCCCAAGGTGGGGTCTAGAGCCATCAGCTGGCCAAAAGAGGAGAGGCCCACAGGCTGAGGAGTGATAAAAATACAGGCAGAGATGGGCCTGCTCCCCAGGAATGGTCCCACAGTGGGACCACCAAGGGCCTGCTGCCCATGGAGGGATGACCTGATGGCTGAGATGGGGTGGCCAGTCAAAGAGGATGGGATGGCCCAAGGACTGGAGTGAAGCTGCTCTGGGGACAGAGAATGGAATGACCTGGTCACTGGCAAAGGAAGACATTAATGGGAGGCTGCCAGAGGCCTGAATGTGAGAGCATATGGCTGAGCTGGTTGTGCCTGATGGCGAGGACAATGAAAGAGTCTTGTGAAGGGATGGAATGAGCCAGGGGCCGAGGACGGCACCTCTGGGGGCAGCAGCGGGCATGCCGGGGTCCCGCTGGCCGCCCTGGTGGGGCAGGCCTGAGCTCATGGCTCTGGCAGCCATGGGGCGCCATCACTCACTTGGACAAGTTGAGCTTCCCTGCGGCCAGGTGGCTCTGCACCATCCGCCAGCGGCCTCTCCCCGCCTTGCCACTGCTGCCCGGCTCGTTGGGGGCAGCCCCGCCGCTTCTCAAGGCGTCCTCTCCGGGTGGTGGCACCGGCGCCGGCTTCTCCCCCAGCCGGCCTTCCCGCTCCACCGCCAGCCCCGCCGCCGCAGTGGCCACTTTGGCGCCTGACAGGAGGGTGCCACTGGAGGCGTGTAGGAGGCAGCCAGGCCAGAGGAGCACCGGGGGTGGCGGTGGGGGAGAGAGGGCAGGCCACACATGGGGGTGGGAGGGGGGAAGAGGAGGAAAAACATCGACAGATAAAAGGAAGAAAGAGACAGTGAGAGAGGAGAGAAACAGACGGACAAGAGACAGACAGAGAGAAAGAGAGACATCAGCACTGCAAATGGGTTAACAGTGGAGCCTGCAGAGGAGAGAGGGGACCGGGCGGGCTGGGGTCAGAGAACAACGCACCACGACAATGGAGGGGGGCCCCTCCCCACCGCCTAGGGCAGGAGCGGTGGGGGTTGGGGGAGGGCAGCCACCTCCAACTCTATCCCACAGGACAACGAAGGGTTAACGACGGAGGAAGAGCGGGCTGTCCAGGCCAGGAGGCCCCCAGGCAGGGAGAGAGAGAAAGCCGTGTTAGTCAGAGTTCATCACCACCACCGCCACCATCACCGCCACCACCGCCACGAACCACCGACCACCGACCACCGACCACCAGCAGCCACGGCCGCAGCACACAGCGGGGAGGAAAAAGCGAGCCACAACCGAGAGGGAGGGACCAAAACGGGCAACCCCATCCTGACTGCACAGAGGGTGGGGAGCCAGGGGGCGTGGCTGGGGACCAGGCGTGGCTGCGAAGGGGGCTCTCCTGCATGGCTGGCCCTGGGGGAGGTGACAGGAGAGGGACAGGCAGGCGAGGGGGGCAGGAGGGGTTGCTCGTCTCCATGGCCAGCCTGCCCATGGGGTGAAGGAGGGGAAAGTGGAGGGACAGGAGCAGGAGAGGAAGTGAGGGGGCGGGAAGGATGGGTGGGGCGTGCGCGGATACTCAGTACATATGATCAAACCAGGTAAAGTCACTCACTTGAGGGACAGTCGAGGGTCGCCATAAGGGGCGTAGGGTGAAATGTTTAGAATAAACTCCTTGGGAGGATAGGAACTCCATTTCTGCTGCACTGTGCTTTCATTGTTATTCCAAAAGTCTCTGTCTAGGTCGCTGGAGGGGCAGAGAGAGAGAGGGGAGAAAACAGGAAGATACAAGAAGAGACCAGAACAGCAAGTCCTGCAGGGGCAGAAGGGACCAGAAGGGACGTGGGGCCCCTGGGGGCACACAGAGGGTAGGGCCTCGAGGGTCTGCTCCTGCAGAGGAAGAAAGGCAGGAGGGGGGATGGCCACTGCAGCCTGGGCCAGGCACCCCCGCACTCACACACGCATGTAGGTGCACACTCATACGCACACACACGTGCACTGGAAGGCTAGCCGGGGGAAGCCGCACAGGAAGGAGACAAGCTGCGGGCAGGCAGACAGGAGAGCCTCGTGCCTAGGAAGCTGGTGGAGAGAGAAAGACCATGAGAGAGGCGGGGTTGGGATGGGGATGGGGGTGGGAGACAAGACCTGGATGGGGCAAGGGGCACCCTGGGGGAGGGGAAGGTGCTAGTTCAGTGTCAGAAGTGTTGGAAAGCACCTGCTGCTGGTAGCTGGCCCTGTCTCTCTCTGGCCTCAGTTTCCCATCAAAGGAGAAGACTGGCTTTTCTCCCTCTTCCATCTTCTCTTCAGTGGCCTAACATGTCCCCTGGCTTCTTCCTCTGGTGAGGCTGGAATACAGGGTTTCCAAGAAACTGAGACAAATGGGGTGATTGGGACCGGTTAGGTGAGGCTTCCGGATAAAGGGAGGTAGCCTGGTCTCTGATGCCAGAGAGGATATCACCAGGGGTCATCAAGATCCTCTGTTCTGGGGACTATGTGGAGAGAGTTTGCTCTTCTGTCAGTGGAGCCAATGGGACCTGCCCAGCCTTGGGCCCACAGTATAAACTTGGTCTGGCCAACTGGGAAGGTTTCTTGTGCTCCTGTCCCTAAGGTGGAGCTGCTGGGTTTAGAAGGGACCATCACCCTAGCCCACCACCCCTCCTTCCGGGTGACTTTTCGTCAGCTGACAGGCTAACAGCATAAAGGACGTTGGGATTTCTGTGTAGGGGTATAGGGTAGAGTAGGTGGCAGAACCCTGGACTCCTGTAGTTCATGGCCTGGAGGTTTCAGAAACTACGGACAGCTTGTTAGCTTCCTGGGATCCCAAAGCGGCAGGGACTGGTGCTGAGAGAGACAGAGAGGTAGCTCCCAGGCCACTGAGTCATTCCGGAAGGGAGTCATGTACGGGTGACAGGAATGCTGCTACAGTAAGGGTCGAGGAGGAGAGTCTGGCCTGTGCCATGCTTGGGTGAGAAGAAGCACGGACAGAGGGCCGGCATTATGGGGGCGTTCTTCCCTAAGGGTCAACTTTTCTCAGGGGAGCTGCTTCTCATGTCCCTGAGAGTTAGGTCTTGACCTTGGTGCTCCATCTGAGACTCAGGCACAGAGAAGAAAAAGAGATGAGAAGCTGGGCTGTCACTATGGGCCTAGAGGAGATGGTAGCCTTGGCTATCCCTAGAGATAGTCACTTACTATCTAAATACACTTTGGAAATGTCTCACAGGGGAGTCTATGCACAAAGTTCAAGCCCAGGCCCTGAGCCAGCTCACAGAGACAGGGGGAACAGTGGGTAGGGAAGGGAAGCAGTCTCCAGTAGAAAATTCTCTCTCTACGAAAGATCTCATGCCCATAAGAGATACACCTTTGGCTCCACTCCCCAGCAAGACCTTGCTTGGATGGAGACTGCCCACATCGGGTGTTAAAGGAATGCAGCAGGTTGGCAGTCTCCCTCCTCATGCCCCCTCCAGGTCTCCATCCAATCTAGGTCCTAGAGGGAAAAGACCCACCCAGCATCATTGCCAGGTTGTCCCCCGACCCTGAGTTCTGGGGCCACTTGGATTTCTACCGTGGTACTGGAAAAGAAGATCCCACGTAAAAGAAGGTTGGGGAAACCGGTTCCTTTGCTGCATGACTTGTCGGTCCTAACGTGTCAGTGGCCGTCAGTATCGCCAAAAGGGAGATGGAGTGTGCAGTGTTTCCCAGACTTGGTTGCTGTGAAATCTTGGGTATGTTAATCATTTCTGAGGCACAGGTGCTCCAAGGAACAGTTTGGGAAGCGCTGCTGAAGAATGCAGTGTCCCAGAACCCTTGACAACATGATCCCTTTGAGGAGGCGCTATGCCAGTGGGGAGTTATGAAGTAAATAAATTGCCCAGGATGGGGAGTACAGGAACCCAGACATGGGTAGTGGCTTCTGTGTCAGGGGCAGGGCCTGGCAGCACATCAGGTGGAAGCAGGCTCAGACTGTGGACAGTGGGTCTACAGGGCGTCAGAGGGTCACTCTCCCCTCACTGCGCCTTAGAGCTTCCTCTGGATGCTGGCTGTCGCCTGCTTTCTACCCTGATGCCCTCCTTTCCACTTGCTGGCTAGAGGAGGATACTTTCTAGAATGCCTTCCCTGTCATGAGCACCCCTATCTAGGAAGGTTATGATCACCTATTTTCACTCGGGGCTTCAAATAGCCCAGACTAGAGGTAGCCTCTTGCTCGGCTCACATGATCCTCCTCAACCCCCACCTTCAGAAAGCTCAGAGCCTGTCTTCTGCAACAGCCCCCAAGTCCTACCAGCTCCTGCCTTTGAAGAAGGAGAGCATGCAACCGAACTCAGCTTCAAAGACTCCCCGTGGTCTCCTCTGAGCCTTCCACCCATCCAAGCCCTAGTTGGCCCACCCTTCTATTCATCCCCCACCTCAGACAACCCCCCCCTCACAACTTCTATGAAAGCCCCAAACAGGGTCAGAGCAGGAGATTTAAAAAACAGGAGGGGCAGGGAGGGAGCCTTCAGGAATGGATAGGGGAGCAAGGGAAGAATGAGTAATGCAGGAGGGCAAGGGTGTGCAGGGGTGCAGGGGTGCAGGGGAAGGGACAGTGAAAGTGGAGGGCCTTGAATTGACAGGGAAGGGGGAGGGGGAGGGCTGGGGGGGCTCAGCTTCCAGGCAAAGCTCCTTGGCCAGCAGACTTGATCCCATCCAGGTGGGCTGGACAGAACTCCCTATGAAGGCCTGGTCTCCATGGACAGCAAGGCAGGGAAAGGTCTGTTCTCAGAGCCTGAGCCCTATGTGGACTCTCCTAGTGACTCTCAGCAGAGGGCTGGCCAAGGTGGTCTTGGTCTATGGACTAGGCTCTTAGCTCTCGGTGGGGAACTCTAGGCAGGGTATAATCCACAGGACCCAAAGGGGGACAAGATGCACTTGGAGGACTGAGCCCCTCCCCATGGGCCTCATTCCCCGGGCTCAGCACTGAGACCAGCTGGGGTCCTTATGGCTTGTCTGCCACCCTTTCCAGGTTGCCCTGGGAGCATGTGAGGAGAGTGAGAAAGGAGACTCAGACTATGAGGAGAGGATTCCAAGCCCAGAAGTAGGGTCTTGGGGAGAGACTGAAGGGCCCAGGGGCCTGCCAGGGGGGTGGGGACAGTGTGTATGACACTGAGAGCTGGACAGAAGAATTAGCATGGCACAATAGGGCTATGCGTGAGAGGCAGCCAAAATCCCAGGGTCTGAGGCATAAGAGGAAAAAGGGGGCCTTGGCGTTGTCCAGGGTTCTGAGACCAAGGAGGTGGGCATGGGCCTCAGGGAGTGAGGGACATACTAGATGTGTGTGTGGTAGGTCTGAGGAATGGTAGAAGGGGCTTCTCCCATGTGGGCTGTCTGTGTACCCCCAAACTGGCAGCCTGGCACCTACTTGATGGCTTTCTTCTCACTGCGCCCGCGCCCCGAGTCTGGCGTGCCCACCGTCTCCAAGGAGTTCTTGTAGCGTTTGCCCTGTGGAGACAGTATCAGGGTTATTTCTTGGGTGAAGATCTGGGCATTCCCCATTTCTCCAGAGCGGGGGCTCCAGAGGAAAGGAGAGAGACTAGAATTTAGATTATCAACAAAGTCTAGAGTCCCTGTGAGGGATTATTGTCATTGTGGGGTGGTTGTCCCACGACCATGAACCTTGTGGGTTCTAGGACCTGCCTCTGCCTACAAACAATCCTTCATGCCTGACCCTCAGGTATCAGGCCATCCTGTCTGCCTGTCTCCTGTGCCTCTGGCCCAGCTCCCAGAAACACAGTTCCCTCTGCTGTGGACAGACGGCTCTCAGGCGCCTGGCCACGTCACAATGTCCACGTCACCACCCCCAGATGGTGGGGGTGGCATCCTGCAGGGCAAGGTTGGCAGTGGCCAATGATGTGAGTGGTGGGGGCGGGGAGCAGGCCACGTGCCTGAGCCTGCCAGCATTGTTGGTCATTGCTTGGGGGCTCTCTGTCCCCATGCCCTAGGGCTAGGAAGCAGGGACAAGGCCTCTGTAAGAGATAATCTTGGGAAGAGAGAGTACATACATCCTGACCCTAGGGGCTTCAAGGTTTCCTGGCCCCTGGACAGCCCCCAGAGTTGCTTAGCCCAGTGTAGGCAGACAAGGAGCAGGGATGGGCATCCTAGGTTCACCAGTGCAAGGAAGAACAGCAACAACCAGGCCTGCTGCTGGGAAGGTGAGCACCATTCACCTTCTCAGTTTGGGTTTCTAAATTTAGCTCATGTAGAGCCCGGCCCCATTAACATTCCTAGCTGCCACCAAGCATCCTCACAAACACCCCATGGGCCTCAGGCCTGGGCCAGGCACCACTGGGTTGGTGCAGTTTGAGGATCCAGGCTGGACAGGGGCCAGGTTTGCCCTGCAGACCCCTTTACCCCTGGTTGCTAACGGGCCCTGAACTAGCTGAGTGGGGACAGACAAGTGCAGACACACATGTGTGCAAGCATGCACGTGTATGCTTGCACATTCCCTCATGTGCACCGACACTGTAGCCATAACAGTCAATTATTCCATCCTTCCAAACACAGAATAAAAGCTGCCACGGCCGTGTTCCCACATGCCCCCGCCAGCTGCAGCCCCTTCCCGGCCACGGGAATCTGAGGAAACTGCAGCAAAGCTCCCAGGAACACGTGGAGTGCAGAGGCCTCCCTCCATTGTACATGCAGCACCTCTACATCTCGGGGCACCTTGGTGTGGCCCTGGCAGAGCCACGGGTGCCCCATGTCACCCTGGCCAACCTTTCCACCCTCTCTGACCTCTCTATCCTCCCTCTGGAATAGTTTGATGTCACCACATGGGTCCGCTGGAGAAGGGGCTCCCGGTACCAGACAGCATCAGTTTCTCTGTTTATTTGTGTCAGCTCCTACTTCCTGGCACAAAGTCACACAAAGGCAAGGCTTTTTTCACTCTCCAGCACCTAGAGTGGCATCTGGCTCCTACAGGTAGTTCATAATGTCCCCATTCACACGGAGGCTTGGGCCTCAAGCTGTTTCCCTGAGCTCAAATATTCAAACCCAAATACAGAGATGTCAGGCCTTCAGGTCCACAGAGCCACCCTCCCTCACATTTCTCTGGTCTCTCTCATCATCTGTTTCTTAGAGGTTCAAATCCCAAACAGTTCCAAACATTGACGGAGACCATCGGGGTGGGGCCGTGCTGTGGTTACCAAGGACCTTAGGCAGGAGCCAGAGTCCCACTGTTCCCCAGGATCTGGGCAGCACAGGGCCCTTCTGAGGGAAACCTTGAGACTCTGTCCACCTGCTCCTCTTTCTTTCAGGTATTTGCAGGAGAGCTAGCCTTGGCTAGTGCCATCTTCCAAGGATGTTCAGCTGCCCCTTCCTCAAGGCCAGGTAGGACTGGAGTTGGTGATCTTGATGGCCTAGAGCATTTGGGGGAGATTCTAACTGCCGCCCACCTGCAGCTCAGAGAACTTTTCCTGCTGTCTGCACAGACTAACTCTGCAGCAGGAGCCAGAGTGCTATGTGGGACAGGACCCAGGGAAGGATTGGGCTGGGGCATTGAGAATTTCAAGGACAACCCAAATTAACAGAAAACCTAGGTGAGGTCCCAGAGATACTGGGTGGCTTGAGAGGAACCTGCTTGTCAGGGAGGGGACTTGCCAGGATGATCTGGAAAAGCCAGCTGAAGATTATGGAAGTTATTAATGTCTGGAAATGGGATCTGGGCTGTCAAAGTATCGTGTCACTGGGACTGAGGGCACAGGAAGGCAAAGAGATCCCAGCTGCCACCGTCTGTGAGGACAGTGTTTTAAGGTCCCTTCTAAAGACCAAGGAAGCAGCCTGGGTAGAAAGGGTCCTGTCGTCTGGGATCCATGGTGCCAGGAGCTTGGGGTCGTGGCGGTGGGGAGCGTCCTGAGAGAGCGATGTTCTATGAAGCCCAAGTCCAGGGAGACAGACTGTGGTCTGGAACCCTGGAAAGGTTCCTAGCTGGAGGCTGCAGTGTGGTTGGGCCAGCGAGGTTGCTGGTTCAGAACCTCTCAAATGGCCAAGGCACTCTAATTCTCCAACTACAAACAAACCTGTCTCACACTCTGTTCTCAACAGAGATGCTGGTGGGGTGAGGCCGTTTGTACTCTGGTCTTGGAAAGGGTGTCTTCACACACACACACACACACACACACACACACACACACACACTCAGAGTGGCACAGTGCATATGCAGGGAAGACTAGGACATGGGGCAGACCTCAGTTACACAGGGATCTGAGAAAATGATACACATCCACTGCTTACCAGTATGTATACACTCAGACACAGGACAGACAGACAGACACCCAGTCACCAGCTCATACAACCTTTTTCCTCTGCCTTCAAACACAGACAGGCAGGAACAGTCTAGCCAGCCCTACAAGGCACACACCAAGAGCAGTCACTTCCATGGTCTCAGAAGACAGCGGTACTCAGGGCACGAAGGCCATCTCCTTCCAGTACCTTCCTTGAAATTCTGAGGCGGATACGATGGGCCAAGGAACAATGGATGGCAGCTAGCTCACACTCCTGCCCACAGCAGGGGATAGCTCACACTCACACAGGGCTCCTACCCCTGGTACTTCCCCAGGGGTAGGAGCTGCCTATCTACCCCAGGGTGGAGAGACTCACCCAGTAAACAAAATTGCCTTCTTGAAGGAGCCATGCTGGGTTATCAGTCCCTTAGCTTCTCCTCATAGATTCCTCACCAGACCTCAAACTCTTTCCAAAGGTGCTTGCCCCTTCTCTTCCTACATGGGAGTGGGGCATGCAGTCTCTACTCACTCAGGGTCTATGACCCAGCTTTACTCCTGCCCTTACGGTCCCTCTGTGTATGCTGCCCCAATTATCCCATTCTGAACGCGGGTGGAGGGGTGCCTGATCCCTGCCCTGCCCCTGGGACATCTCTGAACCTCTATTGAGATCATTCCCTGTAGCCCTCAAAAGTCCCACTGCGCTACTGGGCGGAATGGGAGGTGGGACTCAGGCTGCAGGGCCCAGCAAGGGGGTCCTGCGGGAACAGCGGCACTTGCCTAGCTGAAGAGTGCTGGAGGAATGGGTGACTCACAGTTCTCCCTCCCGGCGCCCTCGGGTGATGAATGTCCCTCCTGACAGTCTCGTTACTTATTGATAGCCTAATCCCGCTCGTTAATTCCCCAGCCCTCGTTAAAAATGAAAAGAAGCCGTTTGTGCTTGTACAAACCAGGAGAATCAGGATGGATGCGCAGGAGGCTGGGGGTGGGGCGGGGCAGGCGGCGCCTTCTCATTGGTCAGGAGGCTATGTGGATTAGCCACGCCCATTGAGGGGCGTGGGGAGGGGAAGGGTGGTGCGACTAGTAAGGGGTTCAGAGGGCCTCATTTCTCAGTCTGCAGTTCTTTATGCGTGAGGTGGTGCATGTGAGCGCACCCACCTGCCCGTGTAGTGATCTATGTGTGTCCCCGATGTGTGTGCCTCTGGGTATAAAAAGATGTATAGGACCAAGACTCAAACAAAAGAGTGTGTGTAAGCTTGTGGTGTGAAGTTGTCTGCACTTGTCCCTGACTGTCGGCAGACAGGTCATCTGCCTACGCACTCCATAGAGTTGGAAGCCAGCAAATGCAGGATGGCAGGGTTCAGGGTGGGGCCCAGCCCCAAAACTTCTCCCCACAAGAGCCTCACCAGTTTGCGCTGACACCAGTGGCACAGGCCGCAGAGGACGATAGTGACGCTAAGGCTGACGGTGATGATGGCAGAGACCAGCAGGACATCGCGGGTGGGCGCCCCTGAGGAGGACATGCACAGTCAGATCATTATGGACCAGGGCCATCCTCCATCCCAGAGCCCCCAGAACAAGCACCGCTCCCCTCCTTTCTGGCACTTTTCACTACCAGTTCGGCCTTTTCTGCCTGAGCCTGGGAAGTTTTCCCTGCTTCCTCAGCTTCTTCATCAGGACAAACAGAAGAAACACGCTGCTCAAACACTCATCCTGTAAACAGTACCCCTTTCAAAGGGAGAGAGCACATCTATGCCCCTAGGTCCATTGATGATTTTGGAAGAGCCACAGCTCCTGTGTGGCCTTCCTGTGCTCCACATGCCAGACCTAGTTCTGAGCAGTAAACAGGCCCAGAGGCCACCTGCCCTCTGAACACCTTCAGACTCCCTTAAGGGCTTGGCCAAGACTCAACAGTGAATGTGTAATCAAAAGGGGATCTCTGGGATTTTCGGGCCACATTAACTCAACTTGGCTTCGCTGGAAGCCCTCTTCTGTCAGCTCCATCCTAAGCCCCTTGGCTTGCTTCCAGCCTTCTCATCCTTGTTGGCTCCAGCCTCCTCAGCATTATTTGTAAGGTCCCAGAAGCTCACAAGAGTCACCTGAGGCTTCCACCTTAAGCATCCTGCGGTCTCATATTTGAGGGGTGGAGCCCCTCTGTGGGAGGAAAACCCCAGGTTTCTGCACAGATCCCGTTTCCTAACTCCATGGCCCTGGATGAGCAGTATGAGCACTCAGTTTACTCCTCTGGAAATGCAGATTTAACAGCTTCCTCTGTCTTCCTCACAGGGGGTTGTAAACATTAGCCCAAAACAAATGTATAGACTGCAAAACCTGGACCAAAAATGACCACGTGGGGGAGTGAGCGGAGGGAAAGCAACAAAGAGCGCACATGAGCTCTAAATATGTGTGCACTGGGACGTGTCCTAAATCACGAAGATGCAGTTTATTTACAGAGGAGCCTGCATGGGCTTCTCGGTGCCAGTGATTGTGGTAATTAAGAGTTGACAGTATCTGTCTGGTCCTGGTTCCTGTGGCTTTAGCTTCTGCGTCTCCTCTCCTCTGGGCCTCTCCTGCATAGATGTCTCCTAGAGGAGAGACGGGTGGGTCTCTCTCGGCTCTCAGGGCCCCCAACTCAGTGCCCACCACTGTGGCACCCCAAGGAGCCTATTTACCACCCTTTCTTTCTAGAAGGCTGTTTGGGCCAAACCAACTTCCTAGACCTCCCAGGAAACATTGCCCTCACTCAGTCCTCACCAGCCTACCACCTGCCAGCCAACTGCTCACTCCTAATCACAGGAAACCCCTGGGCCCAATTCCTGTCAGCTTTATGTGCAGCAAAGATGCTCTGATCTGGTCCTACCCTATGGCCATGGACAAGTCCTTGATGTCTGGGACATGAGTGTCAACTATGTAAAAGAGTTGACTCTTCCGAACTCAGACAATGAGCCAGGATTTCCAGGTATTTCACCTACAGGGACAACTTCATTCTCATGACAATAAGAGAGATAAGGATCATAAATTGGTTTCGTTCTACAGATAGGGTAACTGAGGCTTAAGAGGTTCGGATATCATGTTCAGTCACTTAGCAAGTGGATAGTAACTGAGGGACAGGACCAGGCAGTCTGTCGCAGTATCCACACTCCTTGCTGGTTCTCAAAGTGTGCTCTTTGGAACACCTAGATTTCCCTTGACTCCCTTGGGGTCTGCAGAAGCAGGCTCTGAGTAGAGAAGGCTGAAGCCTTCTTCAATCAAATCAGCATCATTTCCCTTGGCTTTACATCTTGGGCTTTTGAAGAAAATTACATTTGAAGAAGGAGATACTGAGCAAAGTTGAATCCTTCTGGAACGATGGCTCTAGGGTCTCCTGCAGTGTGGATGCTATTATCTTTCAAGGAGCTGACTCCTCCCCTTCAAGATCCCTCAGCCCCCTCAGCATCCCTCGCACAGCCCTTGAAGGCAGGGTGAAACAAATGCTTGCCATTACAAATTGCACTGATGTTGGGAATAAAAGTGACAAGATGTCCTTGGCCAGCATGCCCTCAAGTGCTGTTACCATCAAGGGGCACAAGCGTGTTCTCGCCTGCCAGCCAGAAGGAACCATTCCTGGAGGATGGAGTCACTGTGTCCCTGGGCTGCCAGGGACCTTGGAAGTCACAGAGTCAAGCCCATGATGCATGATCCCCTCTGGACAGCCCTGGTGTTGACAGGGAGCTGTTCCTGCAGGAGGTTGGCTCTCCTGCAAACAACACTGAGGAGGCTGCTGTAGCTTGTGCCGAGTCCAATCTGTCTCCCTGGAACTCACAGTTGCGGTCCTCAGCCTGCCCTCGGGCAGCTCTGCCACCTGACAGGCCTCTGAATCCCTGCCGACAGCTCTCATGTCCCCTTCAAGTCTTCTCCAGGCAAAGCCGCCCCAGCTCTTCTATCCCTCCTCAGATGACATGCATGGTCTCAAGTCCTCTTATCGTCAGCATATTAATGTTTGAGGAGAGGAAATGCTGCGGCCCTAGGCAGCCTTTGCCCAGGGCGGAGTTCCATGACCTCTCCTTGGACAGAGGAGACATCCTGGGTCCCCAGGGGTGAGACACAGACAAGGGCAGACAGATGACATTGGGAGATCTGGGAGGCAGGACAAACCAGGAGCTAAGCAGAACCAGCCTTCTGGGCTTGTATGGGGTTGTTCAGGGAGGGAGGGGTGAGCTCAGACATACTGCTGCCCCTCTGCCCAGGCCTCTGCTGGGCATGTCACCACATGGGAACTCATTCATGACCAAACTGAGTCGTGTCGTCCTGCCCACATCATCAAGCAAACCCCAAAGAAAGGAGACTCAAGGAGGTGTCTTCTTTCTGAAGGGAGCCCAGTAGCTTGTGTATAGAACTCTCTAGCAGGTCAGCTCCATGAGGGCAAAGATCAGTTCCTTAGGTGAAACTATTCCATCATGGAGACTGGAGCCTGGTTATAGTAGGTGGTCAATAAATACTTGTTGGAAGAATGAATGAGAAAGACTCCCAGGCCTCTAGGAGTAAGAATAGCCCTGGGAATCTGCCATTTATTAAGCACCCACTGTGTACCACACTTCAGGACCTGTGAAGACAGAGACTGTCAATCCTTCACTCACTCCAGTATCCTTGGTGACACACAAAGACGTGCTCAGTAAATATTTGTTGAATGTTCAATGCCTGCATATGTTATCTCATTTGTCACCCAAACAAGATAGAAGAGAAGAGATGGGAGAGGCGTTAATGACAGTCTCCAAGCCTTTCTCTTTTACACACACACACACACACACACACACACACACACACACACACACACACACACAAACACTCCGAACCAGGACTCTGTTTATTCTTTGCACTACAAACCCAAACCCTTGAGTTGTCAAGACCCTGATGAAAACACCTCCGTGAAGCCTTGCTTAGTCTGCCCAATGAGAATCGATCAGTGTCTTCTGCTTCAGCATTCCCACGGCACTGTACCTGTCTTTTAGAGTGTAGTGTTTAAGCGTTGCGGCTCTAGAACCAGACTTCTGGGCTCAAATTCTGGCTCAGACTCTTCCAAGCCATGTGCCTTAATCCCTGCATGCCTTGGTTTCTCTACCTGTAAGCGAGGACTAATAATAGCACAGTTTTCCTGGGACTACTGGGAGACTAACAGGAATTAGCACATATAATGTGCTTAGCACAGTGCCTGACACAGAGTAAGCAATAAATGGTGGCTATTATCATAGCATTAGTGCATTGTGCCCTGGACCAGAGATACCTGGGGCAGGGAGCCGGGCTTACTGAGAAGTGAATGAGACACTGAACGGTCCGCTCTCATTCACCCCAGGACAGCAGGGGCCAAGGGTCACAGTTTATTGGATTCTCTGCAGGCTTACCCACCCCCTGCCCCAGGAAGTGGTCCTTATGGCAGGCATCAGTGAGTGCTTCTGGCATGGAAGGATGGAAGGGGAAGGGCTGGCACATGGGGGTGTGGGGTAGGGGCAACAGCTGGAGGCCAGGCTGGGTCTCAGGTGTGAACTGTAGACCCGGTGCGGGTTGGTAAGGCTTTGCTTCCATTGCCTCTCATCTCCTCAGCAAGCCATGATTTATGGATGAACAGAATCAAACAGGACCGCGGGCTGCTGGATGCCCTGGGGAAGCTGCTTGAGAAGCAATGGACTTCTGAGGGCAAGCTCACTGGCTGCCTGCTGGGGGGAGGGTATGTGCACAAAGAACACAGATACAGGCACCACAACCCTCTCACGCACATGTAACATGGAGATCCATTCCTACACAGATATCCATGCTTACACACACACATATGCATGCATGCCCATGACCAGGCCCACGAGCAGATGTTCAGCTCACTCTATCACTCATGAGGCCTGGGATTTCAGGTGCTTCCTCTGGCTTGGAACTCTCACTCCTGAGTTGGATGTCATTTGCCCACTCCCGTATCGCCCCCTCTTTCCTCTCCAGGTGGAGCAGACTAGGGACAGTAGGTTTCTTGTACTCTCCTGCCCTGGGTTCAAGCCCCAGCTACATCAATGGCCATCTGCGTAGCCCAAGCAAGGCCCGGAGTGGGTTTCCATGCTCTTCCTTCCAGCAGATGATCTCCTGGTGTACTGTTGTCAGGACTAAACGACAGCCAACATTCACTGGGGACACCTAGTGTGGCAGATAGTTTCTGCATATCACCTCTGGGCTACTTAGTGTTCCCCACTGACAGAGGAAGAAACAGAGATCTGGAGAACTAACGGCCCTTGAGTCTGTGTTTTCCTACCATGCTACAATGGGCTCCCTCTGAGTGGAACGATGTTCCAAGACATGCTCTATTGTACTGCCTAGTCACACACATTCCACCCTTCCCACATGCACCCAGGAAGCTTTGCATGATGTCTTAGTTAGGTTTCCATTGCTGTGAAAAAGACCATGACCAAAGGCAACTTAGGGAGGAAAAGGTTTATTTAATCTTACATTTTCACTCCATCGGTGAGAAATCAGGGCAAGAACTCAAGCAGGGCAGGA